AGAGAGGCAGAGACATAGGCAGAGGGAGAAAGCAGGCTCCATGCACCGGGAGCCCGACGTGGGATTCGATCCCGGGTCTCTAGGATCGTACCCCTGGGCCAAAGGCAGGCGCTAAACTGCCGCGCCATCCAGGGATCCCACAATTACTTATTTCCACGAGGAAACACTTGATGTAAGAGAACCTTCTTTTTGAAGTTCAGAATTCTATCTCCAAAGTGATGGAGAGTGGCTAATAATATAGCAAAGCTCAACTTCTAATTTGAGGTTCCACAGTCGAGGAGCCAGCTCTTTGTCTCTAACTTGAAGGGATGAGAGCGAGGAGAGGTCTCCTAAATTGGTTGCAAGGAAGGTTTCAGCTCTTAATCCTCTGTCTTGATCATGTTCTTTTTTATCATTTGAAAAATTACTATATATACCCCTAGTATTATAGTTATTTATAAAATATTAATTATTCTATATATTATAAAAACATGAAAATATAAATTAAAAAAGCTTTTTTAAAAAAGAGATTCTTTTATTTTCTTCTTGAGCCCTAGGGATCATCTAACCTGCATCTTCTTTGGAAATCATTCTTTTGTCTAATCTTTCAGGCCTGTCTCAAGTCCCTATTCTTTTTTTTTTTTTTTATTAATTTTTATTGGTGTTCAATTTACCAACATACAGAATAACACCCAGTGCTCATCCCGTCAAGTGTCCCCCTCCGTGCCCGTCACCCATTCACCCCCACCCCCCGCCCTCCTCCCCTTCCACCACCCCTAGTTCATTTCCCAGAGTTAGGAGTCTTTATGTTCTGTGTCCCTTTCTGATATCTCCCACACATTTCTTCTCCCTTCCCTTATATTCCCCTTCACTATTATTCATATTCCCCAAATGAGTGAGAACATACACTGTTTGTCCTTCTCCGATTGACTTACTTCACTCAGCATAATACCCTCCAGTTCCATCCACGTTGAAGCAAATGGTGGGTATTTGTTGTTTCTAATGGCTGAGTAATATTCCATTGTATACACAAGTCCCTATTCTTACTTAATTTCTTGACTTCACCATTTTATCTCTACAACTGGATTGTAAACTACCTGAGGTAGAGACAGTATCTTATCTTTCTACTGTATCCCACAACAATGCTTTGCACAGTTTTGGGTACATCATGATTATCCGGTATTTACATGTTGACTCATCTCTTGGGGTCATTTCAGAGTATTTTTCATTGATTGTTAACAAAAGCCAAAAAAAGGGCTCAGTGGTTTAGCGCTGCCTTCAGCCCAGGGCCTGATCCTGGAGACCCTGGATTGAGTCCCACATCAGGCTCCCTGCATGGAGCCTGCTTCTCCCTCTTCCTGTCTGTCTGTCTGTGTCTGTCTGTCTGTCTGTCTGTCTCTCTCATAAATAAATAAATGAATAAATGAATAAATAAATAAAATCTTAAAAAAAAAGCCAAAAAAAATTCAGCCTTATTCTATCTTAGTAATTTTGGGTTTTATTCCCCATACTATTCATCTAATAAGATTAAAGATAATCAAGCCTATCTGCGTTTATAGTTTTGCAGAAATAGATATATACTATGTCTGATGAAGTGATTTGATTGGGACATTACAGGAATGGCACAGTGATGAGAATCAAACCTCTGTCAGCACCCGCATCTGTTTTTGGTTCTTGAGATTTTTGTCTTTTAGTGTCTTATCAAATGGCTGAGTGCTAAACCATAGCGTTTTCTCTTTATACTTATCTAGAGTTACTTTGTGCTGGCATTATTCATGTTCCTACTGTTTGGGTATGCTACATTTTATATTTTATATTTTACAGATAGGTCTCTGTTCAGTTCCTCTGAACGTCACTATGCCCTTTGATTCTAAAGACCCTTTTATATTTCTGAAATTATTTGCAATTACATGTAGAAGTTCTTCATAGCTGTTCAGTTCTATGAGTCTCAATGGCTTAACATTATACTTTGTTCTTATGGCATTCCTACATTGGCATCTCTTTCTGGAAAGAGACATTAAAAAGAAAAAAAATAAGACCAGTTTGTCAATTACAAATTAAGTTGACAAAAGAGACAAAAACTAAACACTGGTCTCTAAACATGCAGTTCATTTGTGTCTCCATGCCTCATGTCATTCCTTCATAAAAGGCTGCAATATTCTACTTACTAACATAATCCACTGAATTAGATTGTAGCTGTTATCAATTGAAGTTTAAAGGTTTTAGAATTTTTATTACTTTATTTGCTTGATAGGTATATTACTCATTTTTTTTTCTTCATAACAAACTCCCTCAAAATTCAAGTGTTTATAATGACATATATTTACTTTTCTTACCCATGGCTCTGCAGGGCAGTTGGGATGGCTCTGCTCTGGGCTCCAGGTTAGGTTTAGGTCTGCTCCACATGTCTCTCCTTCTTGTACTAGCAGCTACCTGGATGTGTTCTTCTCTTGGGGAATGGCAGGAGTGTGGGAGTAAAAAGCTAAACGGGCCCAAGCACATTTAAAACCTCTTCTTTTATGTCTGTGTAAAATCCCGTTGGCCAAAGCAAGTCAGAAATCTAGCCCCATATCATTGGAGCAGAGTGTATACTTGTTGCACAGCTTGAGGTTGTGCAGAGTTACAGGGCAAAGGTTGTGGGTATCAGATGCTATTAGAAGTAAAGGGCAGCCTGGGTGGCTTAGCAGTTTAGTGCCTGCCTTTGACCCAGGGCATGGTCCTGGAGATCTGGGATCAAGTCCCATGTCGGGCTCCCTACATGGAGCCTGCTTCTCCCTCTGCCTATGTCTCTCCCTCTCTGTGCCTCTCATGAATAAATAAATAAAATCTTAAAAAAAAAAAAAGTAAAAAATAGGGAGAAATAATCCAGTCTACCACTGTAGGGAAGCAGGCCACTAAAACAGTCATTAATTTACTAATGTAGATCCTGTGAACCATAGACATGAGAACACTGTTTTCCATAAGTAACTTACATATTATGTAAATACCTTATTTTGAAAATGCTCCAATGCTCTGAATTTCTTTACAGAATGCTCCTTTTTAAAAATTATTATTTTTTTAAGTAGGCTCCACACCTAAAGTGGGGCTTGAACTTATGACTCTGAGATCAAAAGTTGCATGCTCTACCAACTGATCCAGCCAGGTGACCCTCAAGAATGCCCCTTTAATCCAAAGTTATTATTTAGTAGAAATGAATACTGGTAGAGATGATAGTGATATTAATTGGCTTTTTTGCTTCCTTTGAGAAAGAACAAGAATTGCTAATTGATTGGAACAAATTTGAGAGATAGATAAAAATGGAATAAGGTAGAAAACTGCCTAAACAAAATAAAGCATTCTTTTTTTTTTTAAGATTTTATTTATTTATTCACAAGATACAGAGAGAGGCAGAGACATAGGCAGAGGGAGGAGAAGCAGGATCCATGCAGGGAGCCTGATGTGGGACTCGATCCTGGGACTCTGGGATCATGCCCTGGTCCGAAGGCAGACGCTCAACCACTGAGCCACCCAGGCATCCCAAAATAAAGCACTCTTATGAATAAACTGATAAGAGATGTAAGATAAGGGCTTGGAGTTGAAGTGGAGGGAACAGAGTGAAGCTAACTTAACTCATAGTCTGGAGGCTTATTTCTGAGACTCAGAAAGCCTCCCCAGAAAGTCATTAAAATATGTTTTTATTTAGACAAGTAGGGGGACAGTCCACAGGTGATGTGTTGTAATCTCATGATTACCCAACAATCTAGTGAGTCAGTTTTAATATTTTATAAGTAAGTACAAAAATGAGTTTGTATATTAGTGTCAATGCCCACTAAATTCTGCAATGGAATTAATAGTTCCCTAGAAAACTTTTTCTTTCTGAAGTGATGCTAATAGTTGTGGCTGCTTAACTTGTTAATATTTACTGTTTTCTTTATTGCCTCATCTTTCTCCTTGAATAGAGACATTTTTATTTTGAAAACGGCACCTTTTATTAACTGCATTGGTAATATTTCATAGATGGTATGCAAAATTCACTTGCTTTGGAATGTTATGGAAACTCAAAGAAAATGTGTGTCTTCTTACAACTGTATCTTTTTAAAGTATGAACAAGGAAACTAAAGGACATGTGTATTGCAAAGTTATGTAATATTAAACACAACCTAGTCTACTTTTTAAATTATGGAATAAAAAGTTCATTTTATCTCTGGTACAGGTACCTGACTTTGCAGAGTATATGCAGTCATGGGAATGAATAGATAGATAGATAGATAGATAGATAGATAGATAGATAGATAGATAGATATAGATATTCAATTGCTGTTTTGAAAGAACTCCCTATTTTAAATTACATACTTGCAAGACTGTAGACTCCTAATAAGTTACATTGAGTTCCTCTGTACTCATCACCTAGCAGTGGTGACATCAGATTAGTATGTATGTGTTTGAGAGAGAGCGCATGATGAGCAGGAGGAGCGGGGGAGAAGGAGAGAGAATCTCAAGCGACTCTGCTCAGCGAGGAGCCCAGTGTGGGGCTTAGTCTCAACACTGAGATCAGTTGCTTAACCAACTGTGCTACCCAGGCACAGAGATTAGTTTTTAAATCATTAACAGACCTTTTTTCCCCTCTTGAATAAACCTGGGGTTTTGTTTGTTTTGTTTTTCCCCTCTTGAATAAACCTGGGGTTTTGTTTGTTTTGTTTTGTTTGTCACTTTCTTTAAAGAAAGGACAACGTATTGTGCTTGATCCTCTTTAGGTTTCAGAATTACCAAGTGTCTTATAAGGATCCTCATGTCACTATTGCTTTGTTCCTTTAGTACTTTCTTTTCCATTTTCCCCATTTTCAGATTGATTGGTTAGGGAGTATGTCTCATCTACTTTTTTGGCATATTTTCCTCTGGAAATCTAAAAGATACATAAGCTCCATTTTATTTCTTAAACATGTTCAGTTAAATATTCACATTTCTTATTTTGAGTTTATTTTGGTGGTATTTGAAAACTTGAGAGTTTTGTTTTTTTAACATCATCTTTTTTTTCCTTTTAGCCTGAAAATGAGATTTCTTCAGACTGCAATCATGTAAGTATGGATTTTCCATAACTCACCATCTGTGCTTTATATATATGGCAGATTCAGGATTTTTTCCTGTTGTTTTGGGAAACATTATGTCTTCTTAGATTCTCTTAATCTTAACAAGGATGATAAACCTTATTTAAGGACCATGGTAAATCTGCAAATACCCCTCCATTCTAGAAACAAGCAGATTTTGTCAAATATTTATGTACTTAAGCTTAAATTTTACTTCAGTTACAGTTACCATATGAAAATAATTGTTTCTCTGCTTATTAAGCTTACAACTTTATTTTTATTTTTTAAAAGATTTTATTTATTTGAGAGAGAGAAAGCAGGTGTGAGAGAGAGTATGTAAGTGGGCAGAGGGAGAGGGCAAAGTAGACTCTCGCTGAACAGTGAACCCAACTTAGACCTCAGTCCCAGAACCCTGGGATCATGACCCAAGCAGAAGGCAGACGCTTAACTGTCTGAGCCACCCTGGTGCCTTATGTTAAAAGTTTTATGTATGAAAAAAATAAAATAAATAAAAAAATATAAAAAAAATAAAAATAAAAGTTTTATGTACGCATATACTCTAGAGAACTAGAATTAATTCATTAAAAATCATAAATATCAGGGGAGCTAGATGGCTCAGTTGGTTAAGCATTTGCAAAATAAAACCTTTAAAAGATCATATATATTTATCTGTATTCTGTAAAGTATAATGTTAAGAGGAAGCTGATGATGGGGATCCCTGGGTGGCTCAGTGGTTTAGTGCCTGCCTTCGGCCCAGTGCGTGATTCCAGGATCAAGTCCCATGTCCGGCTCCCTGCAGGGCCTGCTTCTCCCTCTGCCTGTGTCTCTGTCTCTGTCTCTCTCTCTCTCTCATGAATAAATTTATTTTTTTTTTATTTTTAAATTATTTATTTATTTATGATAGTCACACACAGAGAGAGAGAGGCAGAGACACAGGCAGAGGGAGAAGCAGGCTCCATGCACCGGGAGCCCGATGTGGGATTCGATCCCGGGTCTCCAGGATCGTGCCCTGGGCCAAAGGCAGGCGCCAAACCACTGCGCCACCCAGGGATCCCTCATGAATAAATTTAAAAAAATTTTTTTAATTAAAAAAAAAAAAAGGAAGCTGATGTGAAATCAAATCTGTGCAAAAAGTACCGGGTGCTTTGGTAGAAATCTATATAGAGTACAGAGGGGACACAAAAGTTAATTTTTGCCAAGGTGGGATTGATGTCAGGCAAGATTTAATAGCAGAAATGGTACTTGAGGTGGGTTTTAAAAGAGGAATTGTTGTATCTGACAATACTGAAAGAGGTCACTATCAACAATTTAGAAGGTAGTTTAAAGGGGAGACTGCCAGAGCAGAGAAGAAGGTTAACTGTGTAGATTGACTACTTATTCTAATGAATATGTAGATAGGTCAGAGACTTTTTTTTTTTTTAAGATTTTATTTATTTATTCATGAGAGAAACACACAGAGAGGCAGAGACACAGGCAGAGGTAGAAGCAGGCTCCATGCGGGGAACCTGATGTAGGACTCGATCCCATGACCACAGGATCACGACCTGAGCCAAAGGCAGATGCTCAACGGCTGAGCCACCCAGGCATCCTTAGGTTGGAGACTTAAAACTAAAACCACAAGAGTACTAGAAGAAAACACGAACGTAGATTTTTCTTTTCTTTTCTTTTCTTTTCTTTCTTTTCTTTTCTTTTCTTTTCTTTTAGATTTTTCTAAACATGATACAACTTTAAGAAATATTTTTTAAGGGATCCCTTAAATCTTTAAATCCCTTAAATCTTTAAAAGAAAAAAATATATTTTTTTATTTTTATTTTTTTAAAAAAAGATTTAAAACTTTGATTGCATTAAACAAATTCAAAAGACTTGAGATTTTTCCTTCAAAAAGTTGTGTAAATTATGAAAAAGTATTTGCAACACTGATTTAAAAAAAAGGACTATGTGTTTTTATTTTTTGAGAGAGCTTGAGTGAGCAGGGGGAGGGGCTGAGTAAGACAGAGAAAATCTTTTTTTTTTAATAGATTTTATTTATTTATTCACGAGAGACACACACACACACACAGAGAGAGAGAGAGAGAGAGAGGCAGAGACACAGGCAGAGGGAGAAACAGGCTCCATGCAGGAAGCCTGATGTGGGACTTGATCCTGGGTCTCCAGGATCAGGCCCTGGGCTGAAGGCAGTGCTAAACCACTGAGCCAGGACGCCTGGGTAGCTCAGTGGTTGGGTGCCTGCCTTCGGCTCCGGCCGGGATCCAGGATCAAGTCCCACATCGGGCTCCCTGTGTGGAGCCTGCTTCTCCCTCTGCCTGTGTCTCTGCCTCTCTCTCAGTCTGTGTCTCTCATGAATAAATAAATAAAACTTAAAAAAAAAAAAAAAACACTGAGCCACCTGGACTGCCCGAGAGAAAATCCCCTCCCACCCCCCCGCCCTGAGAAAATCTTAAGTAGGTTCCCCACACAGCGTGGAGCTCAAGGCAGTGATCAGTGTCATGACCTTGAGATCATGACCTGACCTGAAACTAAGAGTCAGATGCTTAACCAACTAAGCTACCCAAGTGCCCCCAAAGGACTATATTCTTTAATAGAAAGTGCTGTTAGTAAACATAGGCAACAGGTATAGATTATTCACAGGTAAAGATAAAGATGTCCAATAATCAATGAAAATTTGATTCTCTCTAATAACTAAAAATGTGAAAATTAAAAGACAAACAGGTGTACTATTTTCATCTATCTGATTAGCAAACATAAAAAATTTGATAAATACACAATATTAAAAAAAATACACAATATTGATGGGAATGTGGGGATTTACACATTCTCTAGCCCACTAATCAGCAAACTGCTACCCATTGGCCAAATCCAGACCCCTGCCTGTTTTTATGCATAAAGTTTTATTGGAACATACCCATGCCCCCATTCAGTTACATACTGTCTTTGGTTGCTTTCCATACTATAACAGAAAGGTTGGATGGTTTCTTTTTTTTTTTTTAATATTTTATTTATTTATTCATGAGAATACACAGAGAGGAGAGAGAGAGAGATTCCTCCAGAATCAGGCCCTGGGCTGTAGGCGGCGCTAAACCGCTGAGCCACCAGGGCTGCCCGGGTTGAATAGTTTCAACAAAAACTGTAGATCCAGGGATCCCTGGGTGGCGCAGCGGTTTGGCGCCTGCCTTTGGCCCAGGGCGCGATCCTGGAGACCCGGGATCGAATCCCACGTCGGGCTCCCGGTGCATGGAGCCTGCTTCTCCCTCTGCCTGTGTCTCTGCCTCTCTCTCTCTCTCTCTCTCTCTCTCTCTCTCTGTAACTATCATGAACAAAAAAAAAAAAAAAAAAACTGTAGATCCCTAAAAGTATAAAAGATTTTGCTTTTTGGCCTTTTGTAGAAAAAGTTGCTAAACTCTGTTCTAGCCTATGAATGAGAATATAAGTATGAAAAACTTACTTGTAAAGCAATCAACTTAAAATGTTTACATACTTTGGCCTAGCATTTTTACTTTTAAGAATTTATGTGTAGTTATACTTAAAAGAATGGATTCAAATATGTCTACAAGAGGTTATTTGTTGTGCCATTATTAGCAATAATCGTGCCTTGGATAAACCTTATTGGGTACAATTCTGCCACTGTGCAAAGCTTGATGTGGCGTTATTATAAAGCAAAAAATTAGAGGGAAAAAAACCTCAGAATCCACCAGTAGAGTAACTCTGGGAAGTCTAGGGAAATCCCAGAAAGCAGATAATCTGTGCCCTAGAACTCCTAAAAGGCTGGAGAATAAGAAGGATTTGACACTGCTCAAGATGGGGACCAATAGTAGACAGAAAACAGAATTGATGTCCTTAAAACAGAGAATATTAAGACACAGACGAAGACCATGTGAAGATACAAGGAGCTGATGGCTCTCTTTACAAGCCAAGGAGAGAAGTCTCAGAAGAAATCATTGCCAACCCCTTACTCTCAGATTTCTAGACTCCAGAATTGTGAGAAAATAAATCACTTGTTGTTTAAGACTCCCAATCTTTGGTATTTTGTTATGGCAGCCCTAGTAAACTAATACACTTTTGGGTTGGAATAGGATGCATTATATTTTCCCATTAAAATTAATGGAACAAGGGATGCCTGGGTGGCTCAGTGATTGAACATCTACTTTCAGCTCAGGGCGTGATTTCAGAGCTCTGGGATCAAGTCCCACAAAAGGCTCCCTGCAGGGAGCCTGCTTCTCCCCCTGCCTATGTCTCTGCCTCTCTTTCTGAGTCTCTCATGAATAAATAAATACAATCTTTTCCAAAAAATAATGGAACACATTTAAAATATTAAACAGCTTTCCACTTAGTAAGTAGTTCTGGAATAAATTCGTGTTATTAAGCAAGAGATAAGATTACTTATGAACAGTCTTTGGGCCAATAAATTTGAAAATGTTTACACAATGGACAAATTCCTAGAAAAACAAACTTATCAAAACTAACACAAGAAGTAGAAAATATGAGGAACTTACATTTATTTTTAAAAATGAATCTGCAAATATAAATCTTTATTGACTGGTTGGCTCAGTTGGTGGTGTATGCCATTCTTGATCTCAGTGTTGTAAGCTCAAGCCCTGTGTGGGCGGTAGAGATTACTTAAATAAATAAAACTTTAAAATTTTCTTTAAAAAAATGAATCCATAAATAAAAATCTTACCATAAAGAAAACTCCAGAACTAGATGGATTTATTGTGGAAGGGAAAAATAACAACAGTTTTTATTTGCTTATTTATTTTTGTTAAGATTTTATTTATTCATTTGAGAGAGAGAGAGAGCACACTCAGTGGGGAGTAGAGGGAGAGGGATAAGAAGAATCTGCGCTCAGTGGTGAGCCCAGTGCCTGCCTTGATTACAGAACGCTGAGATCATGACCTGAGCCAAAGTCAGATGCCCACCCACTGAGCTACCCAGATGCCCTAACATCAGTCTTTTAAAGAGTTAAAAAACGTGGAAATATTTTTCTGTTCATTATG